TAGTAAAAGCACTTTTTAATCTATTCTGCCATTTAAGTATTTAAACCTAATGTTCCTTGGTGTAACATTTGCTGCTTCTGTGGAAGAATGCATAGTTAATAAATCACCATTGTTAATTAGTTGTAGGTTTCAATGGGGCTCTTAATGCATTTTTAAAATTTTTTTGAAGATTATTTCTTTTATTTAAACTGTAATGACCCTTCACTCATGGTTAGCAGTCTGAAAGTATTAAAAGATGAACACTGACTGAGCTTGTAGAATTTACAGGAAATTCAAGAATTTCAAGAAAGTCAGAGAAGGCCAAAAAGAATGCAACATTGAGACCACCACCATTTAGATATAAAGTGATTTCCTTCTATAACTATTGCTGCATGTGTGAGAATATTTGATGTGTGAATATAGTATCTACATCCAAGACACTTGATAAATGTGTGTGCAGAAAAGAATAATATACATGTACATACATATCTAATACAAGGATGAGAAAACCAGGTGGAATAAAATGCTAATGAAAAACAACTTTCAAGAAATAATTCTTAGAAAAATATAGAGACTGGTATTTTATATCATAGCTCTTCCCTGTATTTTAAACACCTAAAGTATTAAAATTTTATTACACAGCTTTATTTGGGATCTAATTCATTTGCGTTTGTAGAGATATTTTATTTTTTAGCTATCTCACATATAAAAGCGCCTGACGTTTTCATTTTTTGTTTACTTTCCCTAGTCTAAGAAAATGGTAAGTTGAATTATTCTCCCTTTATAATGTTCTGATAGCAAATGCAGTGAGTAAAAATAAATAAATATAGTAGCCAGGTAGCAAGATCAGTGTCCCAGAGGAAATTATTTTATTTTATTTACTTTTCTTTTTTTAAGACAGAATCTCACTCTCTTGCCCAGGCTGGAGTACAGTGGCACAATCTCAGCTCATTGCAACCACTGCCTTCTAAGTTCGAGTGGTTCTCCTGCCTCAGCCTCCTGAGGAGCTGGGACTACAGGCACGCACCACCATGCCCAGCTAATTTTTTGCATTTTTAGTAGAGATGGGGTTTCACCACATTGGACAGGCTAGGCTGGTCTCTAACTTCTGATCTCTAGTGGTCTGCCTGGCTCAGCCTCCCAAAGTGTTGGGATTACAGGCATGAGCCACTGTGCCCAGCACCCTCAAAGGAAATAATTTTAGAATTAAAAGCTTGTTCTAGTGTGGGCTCTGGCAATGTCGGTTACATTTTCCTTGGGCGATTTATGTGACCATTCTAGGTGCTTTTTCTTCACTTCCTCCTTCCAGGCTTGACCGCCCTTTATCCCTGATGTGGCCGTCAGAGGTTTCTTTCACATGGTGGGTACCCTTGCCCACATATGGTCTTCTTGCTCCGATGTTCCATGACAAAAGAATGCTTTTGTCCCTGACGTTAAAGGCCTGGTACATTCCCTGTGTCTCCCCAAACCCAGGGTGTAGATTTTCCTTAACTTCCTTTCTTTTCTCTTAATGTTAAATTCCCAAGCCACGTTTAAGTAAGTTTCCTTATCCAGCTGTTGTCCCAAGTAAAGTCCACACCAGAGTGTGGACTGTCTTGAGTCCAATGGTGCAAGCTTCAAGTGAGCATGCTGCATCACTGTTTTTTAAGACACTCAGACTCTTCATGTGTCAATTCAATGTGAGCAGTCTTTAAATCAAAGGGCACACGTTTTACTCTATGTATATTTTTAACAGTTTATGTGTACATATATGTTTGCAAAACAGATACGTTGCCAACATTTAAATATTAAAACATTTCAAGTAAAAATGCATTTTCTTCTTGAGGGCTCAGAAAGCCCTGGAAGCGCTTGCCTTGCATTTCCACCACAGATATTTGCTGGAAAATTCACTCATTGTGTGCACCCTGCAATTTCTCCCTCAGGAATTTCTTCTTTCTTACCTGAGGCACACAGTAGCTTATGAAGAAAGGAAATTTGGAACCCCTGTTTTAAAGCGAAGGTGGATGTTGCTTATCACCTTCATGCTGTTAGTTGACTGCTTCCAGATTTTCTACAGAATATGATTGTGGAGATGAGGGCAGGAGGCGTGTTAGGAATTGATTGTTTGATGATAGCTTACCCTGACTTTCATGCTGTTAGATGCATTGCTCAGTAGCCAGCAGAGGAAAGAGTTCAGGAGCTGTACGCTAAAAAAGGACTGAAATAATTGTGCCAATTGTTAGTGATAGTCCGGAAAGCAAATGAATTTTTACATTGTCAAATTTAACTGAAAGCCCTTCTTCTATTCAAGTGTAGTTTACAGACAACTTAGCATTAATATTTTGGTGTGTGTGTGTGTGTGTGTGTGTGTGTGTGTGTGTGTGTGTTTTAGAGACAGAGTCTTGTTCTGTCATTCAGGCTGGAGTGCAATGGCACTATCATAGTTCACTGCAGCCTCCAATTCCTGGGCTCAAGTGACTCTCCTGCCTCAGCCTCCCAGGTAACTGGGGCTACAGGTTATTATTCTGATAATAGTAAAAGAGATTATGACTCTTAAAAATTAGATTCACTATTGATAACACTGAATCCAGGTCAGATACTTGAGGAGAACGAAGGAGAAAGTTAAGGGTTACAGGCAAATAAGAATGGGTAAAACAGAAAGCTTGGAGTATATTGTGGGATTTTGTTGTTGCTGTTTTTTATCTTAAATTACTAAACATCATATTAGAGATTAGCAAGGAAGCAAAAATGAGTTTGGAGTGCTTCTTTTCCAGCTGAACTTTGATAGACATTTGATTCACACCTTGGAACACATACTATACAATCAAACCCTTGCTGAGATACTCTGCTGCCTATTGGATAGATAGCTGGGCCTGTAATGGAAACAAATGAATGTTTTGGTGATGTTTTCAGGCCAGAACAGACAGAGAAAATAGAATTCCATTAACTATTAAGCAGCATGCTGTTGTCTCCCTGCTTTAGAGACAGATGTAAAAAGCTCATGTTTAAGAGATGGTGTGGGGGTTCCTGTGTGCTGGAGAAAGATACCCCAGAGTGGAGAAGCGAGCCGTTTCGGTCTTTGATGCTCCTCCCAAAGGCCAGTGTGTTCTGCTCCACTTTGCTTGCTCCTGACCTCTTCTCCTGCCTTCATTTTGTGCACTCATTGCAACCACTGTCTGCTTCTATGCTTGCTTTGCCTCAACATCTCAGTTATAGAAACATGTATACCAAATAATAAACCTGTCTCTATCCTGTAATATGGAACAAAAATTATACTGTTGTTAAAAAATGTGTTCGTGAATGCTTGTAGAAATCGAAATAGAAGCATATTTTAACTGGTGTGAAAGCTTCTTCTTTCCATCCTTTGAAGAGAATGTAATTGTAAAACCAATTCACCAGAGATGTGTGATTCAATACAGATCATACAGAGGCCCAGTTAAAATTTAGCTTTACTTTAATCTTAAGAAGGCAACCATTATAGACACTTGAAAATAATGAAGCTACATTGTTAAAAACAAACAAAACAAAACAAAACAAAAAAACAAACTTCTGTAGTTGAGAGGTTTTTTTTTTTTTTTTTCAGTTTGGCTTCCTGACATTCCCAGCTTACAGGACTCATGAGACATTTTGAGGATGAATATCAATTTGTAGACAGGATAACAAAATAGCTTCCTGTAGTCAAAGTTTTTAGAGCTTTGGTGTTTTGACATCTTTTTAGTCCATATATTCACTTACTTGGGCACTTCATATCCTTATAGAGTCTTCCATAAAATAGGCGATCGTGACGATAACAGCTTTATTCTTGTGCTAATTTGCCCAATACTGGCTATACTTTTAAATGGCTTTTCATACATACATCTACACACCTATATCATCTCTGCATTGTTAGTCAAAAAGGAGTTGATTTTGCAGCCTGGGCAACATAGTGAGACCCTGTCTCTGCAAAAAATAAATAAATAAAAATAAAATAGCCAGCTAGTCAGGAGGCTAAGGCAGGAGGATCTCTTGAGCCCTGGAGGTCGAGGTTGCAGTGAGCTATGATTCCACCACTGCACTCCAGCCTGGGCAACAGAATGATACTCCGTCAATCAGCAATATCTGATTTAACATATTATTTAATGAATTACCCATAGATAGCCCCAAATCTGTTTATTCTGCCTTAAGATATTTTTGGTGCATTGATTCTTTTCTTTTACTTTCCTGTTTCTTTATTTATTGAAGATGGTCTCATTCCCATTTTTGTCTCTATAAAACTGATAATAAAGACAGTAATCATATCTCCAGTGAATTTTTTCTGAATCTGGAAAAATATAAGAGTTCATATCATTTGTAACATATATAGTTTTTCATATATTCTCAATTTATCCTACTTTTTAAATTGTAAATATTAGAAATGTCTATCATATTCAGACTGTGGATTCATTTAGATTCAAATTTAAGAACTGTGACCTTGAGATGACCCGGAAGAACTTAGAAGTTTTTTATAGTTTTAACCAGAATGGTGAAATTGTTGCCAAATTTAATTAGATATTAATCAACGATGATATTGGCAAATGTATATTTAGCCATGCATTTTTTTTGTTTTTCTCTAGGTTTTATATCTATAAGACTGCTTATAAACAAGGATTTTCTAAAACTATAAAAACAAATATACAATCAAGTTTTTTTGGGAAAACAGAGTAAGATGAGAATTTCTGTTTCCAAAATTATAGGCAACACTAAATACATTCATGATGTGCCTGTATGTGTGATAAGATTGCAGCATCTAACATCAGTTAGGTTCACTGAGAATCTGTTGCTTTCAACATCAAATAGCCATCTCCAGAACCAGGAACTCTCTTGATTCTTCTATTCATTCAGTAACACTAAACTGATGTTATTTTTTGGTTTCCTATGTCTCTTTTTCCTAATACTTTTGGCTCCCTCTCTAGTCTTTTATCTCCTTCCCGTGGTTTTGTCTATGAAACAAGAAGATCTTACTGCCTTTCCTCCCTGTATGAAATTCAGATCTAACATGCAGCAACCTGCTTTTTCTTTTCCAGATTCCCGTCTTGGTCACACAGATAAGTTCAACCAATCACCCAGTGAAAGTCGGACTGTCCGATGCATTTGTCGTCGTTCACAGGATCCAACAAATTCCCAGTAAGTAGAAGGGCAGTCGCAATGAGTGAGCCTCTGTGGGGTAAATTGAAAGGAGATCGATCTGAAGCAGATGTACCTGAAGAAAAAGAAAAGCTAATTGATTAGCTGATTGATGCTTGTTAGTTCTCTTGTTTGGTTTATAACTCCTGTTGGACTGTCTCTGTCATCCTTGAACTAACTCAGGTGAAGAGAAATTAAATAGCCAAGCCAAGAATGTGTAGTTTTGGATGTTTTTTCTTGTTTCTTTTTTCTTTCTTTTGATTTGGGGTTTTACTCTGTCACCCAGGCTGGAGTGCAGTGGTGCAGTCACAGCTCACTGCAGCCTTGACCTTTCAGGTTCAAATGATCCTCCTACCTCAGCATCCTGAGTAGCTGGGACCACAGGCATGCACCACCATGCTCAGCTAATTTTTTAAATTATTATTATTAGAATAAATGAGGTCTTGCTAAGTTGCCCAGCCTGGTCTAGAACCCCCTAGCTCAAGTGGTCCTCTTTCCTAGGTCTCCCAAAGTGCTGGGATTACAGGCCTGAGCCACTGTGCCCAGCTAGATTCTTTGGGATAGTTCGCTTGGCTAAGCAGAGTAAGTTCTTTTATTAATAAGAATGACATAGAACAGTGACAAATTATTCAATTGATAGGCATATGACTTTTCATATGACTTTTCATATATATTTATCTGAAGTTTCTGAGCAAAACCACAGCTTTGTGCTATCTTACATTTAATGTATTTGTGTAAAACTGTTTGAGAGTCTAAAGGAAGATAAAAGAAAAAGTACAAATTTAGGTAAATAAAAATCTGGGTGGAGCTCTACCTACCACCAGAGAAGCTATGTATTCTCTTTAAATAATGTTTGCCCATCTAGTCTAGTTTACATTTTGTAGAATACAAAGGGATGTGTTGCTCTGGACAACTGCTTGTTATATTAGAAACTAGAGTGCTAAGTGCATTAGCCATTCTGATCCTCCAAAGAGGCCTCTGTTGAAAGCTTCTGGTTTTTGCGTCTTTAATCCAAAAGCAGTCCTGAGAGATGCTTTGCTGTGGTAGTACCTGGAGTTAGGGTTGGGGGCGGTGTTTGTGTCCTGTATTCGTATTTAAAGAAATGGGAGATAAGAAAATATATCTCAGGATGAGTTCATTTTTCTTTTCTGTTCAAAGTTCTTTTTCTTCTTTTATTTCATTAGAGTGGTAATTTATCACGTGCACATGCTCTTTGGTCATGACTTGAGGTGATTCTACTCAATTATGTCAACTCTCAAATATAGACAGCAATTGGATGGGAAGCTATACGTTTTAAAGCAATGGATTAGCAGAAACATTATAAGGGTTATCTTACCACTGTAAGATATCTTACAACTGAATGGCATTCATACATGATGGTTCTGCTTGGTGAAGAACATTGGCTTTCTCCTTGTTAGCTGAGAATTTGTGGGAGGCAATATTCAAGGGAATTGATAAAGCAGATTTTCTGGAAACTAAATTGTACTGTGAACAAAGCAAGGATGTATTAGTATGTGTAGGTATCATAAAGGCATCCTGACAAGGTCTTAAATAAGAGGCCAAACCCTGGGACAGCTGAAGTTGGCTTCTGTTTGAGGATGGCTGTTCTTACATTCTTTCTTTCAGAGTTCTTAAATCAAGCATGGCTTGAGTCAATTATTGCACGAGTAAAAGGACATACTAGTTTTAGTTTATTTCTTGGTTCCTTTTTTATTGCTGAAAAAAAAATTTATTTGCAGCTTGCTCAGCAGGGCTTTCAGTCCATATTGTTGTTCTGATATATTATTGCTTGAAGAAAAAGACCAACCAAAATATAATTTTTTACAAATGTATTTTAATATGCAAGTATTATGTTGGTATATTCCCTATGATAAAATTGTAGTTAGCTATCAGGGCCCTAAAGGGTAATTGTGCATCCCTTGTTATGCTATAAAAGGATAACTATTATGTGTTGCAGGGAAAATATTTTCAAATATAAATCTCATTGAATAAATTGGCGAAATTCATATGAATTTTCAGACCAGATTATGTCTGAAGTTTGGGACTCAGCAGTTATCTAAAATAACTCAAGCTTAGAGTTCAGAGAAAAGCTTCCCTCAGACAATTTGCATACTGGAATAGCAGTCACATGTCCTGTTATCCTTACTGTTCCATCCTGAGAAAATTAACCAGGAAGGAATGGAATATTTGGGTCTCTAGTTCTGCCATTGCTGCTGTTAGACAGGACCATATTTATGCAAGAAAATTAGAATGGCTATGTTCTACTTAAAAATCATCTGGAAACAAAAAATTGTATCTCCTTAAAAGTATATTTCACATTTATAAAGCATAACTATGTCTGCTACATGAGATTCTGTATAAAAGAGATAAATGGTTGCATTGTATTCTCAGCTAACAAAAAGCACATCTTTATGCCAGAGATTAGGATAACCCAAGATTAGCACAGTGCAAGTTATACAAATGTATTTCTTTTGTGAGAAAGAAGTTGATTCGTACAGATCTGTGTTACTTATTCAACAATCAGAATTTAGACCAATGTAAGTTTTTTTTCAAAATTCAGTTCCCTTAGTTAGCTACACTCACTGTTAAGAATTGTCTTTGTAGGAAATTTAAATACTTTGCCTCTGTTACCTTCCCCTCCCCACACCACAAGAAGATTTAGGGAACAACTGATCACTATCCTAAGTAATGAGTAGTTTCATTCTTCTGTATTCCAAGGTGTGTTACATAGAACCTTGTTCTCATAAGATCAATTTTCTATTCTTTTAATCATTTTGGTTACATAGGGTGTAGAACCTTTGGCTTCATGTAGCCATGGAAATATGGGAATGTGAGCTCAAGCCTGGAAAATAGTTTTTCCCAGTAGATCACCATTACTGTACCCTTGTTATCAGATTTGGTAAAGCATTCAAAAGTTCGTAAAGCAATTTTAATTTATTTATTATTAAAATGTCTCCCCATTCATTCTTCCTAACATCAACAAAAAAACACTTGTTTTTCAGTTTTTAAAAACCTCCAAATAGTTTCAATGTATTTCAATAACTTTAATCTAACTATCAAGCATAATTAATTAAAGTAGCTTTTTTCTTTCAAAAAGGATCAGGTGAGCTGATAGTAACTATCACAGACAATTCAGGCATAAATCCTTCTGAGTTTACAAGAGAAATATTTTTGTCCATCAAAAAGAGAGAAAAAAGTCTATGGTAAAACAGGCTTATGTTAAAAAAAAAAAAAGGTGGAAATTACAAGTAAAGAAAGTATAAGGAATACCATTATTTGATTATTGGTCATGAAATGTTAAACATTTTATGTAACTTACATAATTTTTTTCTATATGAAGTGAACATCTTAGTACCTAAAATGCAGTGTGTCTACAGCATGCACTCCTGGCAGAGAGTAAGTGATATACTTGTACTTAAGATTACTGTTTTTGTCCATCATCATTATCACTTTAAAAAACAGTGATACTGACTTAGATGTCACTGCGAAGCCCCGGTGCCCGTCAGAGTGGAACCACTGATTTCCGCTAAGAAACACATTGACAGTGTGTCTCTGGTACTCCAATTCTTTCTGACTCTGTCGTTGTGTGTTATTTTATGTCTCTTAATAAGACTTGTGTCTGTCTGTCTGTCCATCTGTATGTCTCTAAATCACTGTTTTTCTTGAAATGTATTTGTAAAACTTTAGAAACAGAAAGAACCAGAGATCAGCTAATTCAGTATCCACAGGTACAGCTATGAAAAACAGATCTAAGTACAGCACTGACTTTGGTTGTTCATTTCAGAAATAAGAACATAAAACTATACTTATTATGATTAGAAGGATAGCACATTATAATTCTGAGTGATTTACAAATTAACAGGAAACCCAAAGAGGAAAATTTGAATTACCTAGAAATGTTCTACTGAGAAATAGCGATAAATGTTTTCACGTATCTGTTTCAGACTATTTATTTGTAATATGCACATATATGAACATACATACACAGTAAGAAAATTGGCATTGTGTTTTGTAAATAATTTTGCCCCCTGTTTTCACCTTCATACATAAAAGATACTTTTTCTACACTGTTAATGTCTGTCTAAGATGTAGTCATTAATGGCTATAACAACTTTCTTTGTTAGAGAATTTATGTGACCTGTCACTAAAGAGGCTGGTTGCATAGGTTGCATCTCATATTAATTGTCAGTAAAATGGTGCTGAACATCCTTGTTTTTAAATTTGTACATGTATCTGATTCTCAAAAAGTGAATTTGTGAATGCTGATTGTTAATATTGTTTTGAATGTGTTTTGACAAATTGCTTTCTATCAAGGTTGTACCACTTTACTACCCATCACCATTATATTAAAAGTTTCCCATGTCCCCAAGTGCTTTCTATTATTAATTTTTAGCTTTGCAAATCTGATAAGCACAAAATGGTATTTCATTGTTGCTCTAATTGTCTTTTGATTACCAGAAAGTTTTAACATTGTCGTATATTCATGTGTCATTTGTAATTTCCATAATTTCTTTTAAAATTGCTCTATTAAGTATTTCTTTCTCAGCTTCAGGTTATTTCCTTCCAAATCCTTACACAACGTGCAGAGATCTTGCTGGACACATGCACAGTTCTCACTAGTGCCACTTGCACTTGTTTGTTTCTCTCTCCTCCAGCGTAGCATTTTGGATTTCAATCTTAATCTCTGGCATGCTGACTTACTCCATCAGGCCTCACTGTTTCTCTACCTTCCAAGCTTAATGAGCCTAATGTTTGCAGCAAGAAACTCAGAGAATTCACTTATGCCGTGTGGTTCTTTGATTTGGAAGAGTTAAGGCCATGCCATTTAAGTAAAGAGAAAGTTTTGTTAACACACACATTCAGGGCCGTGAACTTGAAACCAGTCTAGAAAGCAGCTGACCTCACTTAAAATCCTTCTACTCCAAGTTATGACAATGACTATACTGAATCCCTTAGAATATTCCTTATTTTTCTCAGTCTCAGTACATTACTTGGCACTT